CCAGCAAAGGAGAAAAAAAAAAAAAAAAAAAAAAAAAAAAAAAAAAAACTTTAACGTGGTCCAACTCTTCCCAGCTGCTCGGGGCGGTGTCGGTCGGGGAAACGCGGCAGGTTTCTTCCAGATCCAGGTTCCTCTAGTTTTTCCTCCAGCTCCCTTTTTCTTTTGAGCTGTCTGCCTTTTTTTTTTTTTTTTTTTATTGATTTTGAACAATGGGATCTCTGTCTGTCTCCGATTAAACCACGTGGGTCCGCCTTCCTTCCCCTTTTTTTTTTTTTTTATTCATTCACCCCCAGTCGGGGAAACGCGGCAGGTTTCTTCCAGATCCAGGTTCCTCTAGTTTTTCCTCCAGCTCCCTTTTTCTTTTGAGCTGTCTGCCTTTTTTTTTTTTTTTTTTTATTGATTTTGAACAATGGGATCTCTGTCTGTCTCCGATTAAACCACGTGGGTCCGCCTTCCTTCCCCTTTTTTTTTTTTTTTATTCATTCACCCCCACCCCCGCCCCTTAGGTTTTATATCCTCCCCCACGACTACCTTTACAAAAAAAAAAAATCAACTTTCTCCTCCTCCCCAAGTGGTCGGGATCGGATTGCAGCCCTCTACCTGCTTTGCTGAAGAGTGAAACACAAAAAAAAAAGGAGGAAAGAACTCAAAGGCTTTCTTTTTTTTGTGTGTGTTTCCTGTTAAAGAAAAGGGTTTTTCTAACGCCCACCCACCAGATGCACTTAAAATGTAAATATGAGCCGCCAGAACAAATGCTACCATACAAAACAGAAACACATGTATGGACAGGGGGAAAGACCGAGCCGGGGAGGGAGAAGGCAGGCAGAGTCCTGCCTCTGCAAACACAGCTCCATCTTTAGGACAGGAAGACTCAGAAGGGCTGGGAGAGGAGAAGTGGTTTGTGCAAGGCTTTCTTAAAAAAAAAAAAAAAAAAAAAAAATGAAAGGATTAAAAATTTTTTTTTACCCTTCTTCCTCAAATCTTTCTGCATCTCCACTCTTTGGAGGATCTGCCCGGCGCAGCAGTTCCCAATCTGTGGCACGGGTACCGCCGGTGGTAACTTGTCCGTGGTATGCGTGCACGGATTTATTATAATTAATTTATAGGGCCCAAAATATGCTGGTGGTACTTAAGGTTGCACCGTTTTAAATCAGCGGTCCGACTTGGGGAACTGCTAGCCACCTTCCCGAGAGGCTTGCTGGAGGGCAGGTTTGCCCTGGATGGTGGGCACGTTGCCTCGCTGTGGAGCTGGGCTTGCCGGGCCACGTGCTGCCTTGGGAAGTGCATCGCCGATGCCTGGACCTGGTCCGAGGAGCACCAGGAGCTCCAAATGCCTCCGTAACCCCCACCCACCTGAGGACCTGCCTGGAGAGGCTCCTAAAGGACGCCGCCTGAGTACGTCGGCAACCTCAAGGCAAAACCCACCCAGGGTCTTTGAATGCACCTTGAAGTGGGACACGAGGAACTGCTTCGTGCCCCGCGTTTTGCAGATCGGCACTTCATCCACCGCGCTTGACTCAACGGCTCCGTCGCCCGCTACAGGGATCGTGAAAAGAGATGCTGGAGATGTAGCTACAAATGAGGGACTCTGCCTCATGTGCTATCTGCCTGCAAACCCCACAGCAGAGCCTGGCCGCTCCGCCACAGTGCTGTCCAAGCATGGTGGTGCCGGCCCGGCTGCTCCGGTTTCAGCCAGGACGGCGTCGATGAACCACGCTGGCGCAGACTGAGAGCCAGTTGTGCCCGGACAAGGAGACCAAGCACATTACGGTGGTTGGCATCACCATCTCATTCGAGACCCGGCTGCAAGCCTGCACCAAAGCCCGCGAGTGGAAGCTGATGAAGGACAAGCTGCTGGTGGGTGCCCTGGGAGCAGGGGATATGGGGTGACAGTGCAGGGGCACTCAGAGCATGGGACCCCCGCAATGAAAGTGCCCTGTGTGCCTGCCAGATATCCCCCCACTCCCCCCAACTGATGATGAGACACTCCATGGTGTCCGACACCATCAGATGGTCCAGGGACATCTACGTGGAGCGCATCACGGCGCACGGACACCAGCAGACCGCTGGCTGGTCTCAGAGGTCTGCCCCCTCCAATGGATCATGAACTAAGACCACTTCCCACCTGGACCCTCCCTTGCCCCCGCAATTGTACTCTGCATACCTGGCTGTATCCCTTAGAGCATGCAACTCTATACAATGCGGCTTCCGCACACGCAGCCTTTGCATCTCCTTCAGTGAGCATCGCGCTTTCAGCTCCCCTTATCCCTAATGCACCCCTGGGGCTAATTAGGCCACATCTCTCCATGAAACTTAGTTGCATCCTCCCCCTACCCACCCTGTACTATGTAGCCCAAGCTCATGCAGGTTTTCTGTACCTCTGTCCACCCCGTCGACTTTGTAACTTCCTTTTACCGCTCACTAACATCTGCATGAAGGAAGGACCCACTTGCTCTGTCTTGGCTTTGCTAGCGTGATTTCTATTGCAGGGGAAGATACAGGTGCCAATGGGCCCATCCAAACCATTTACCGGCCCAGGGTTTGAATGGGGCTGTTCCTGTGCTTGAAGGAGGCAGGGTGGAGATGTGCGCCTTATATAACTACATCAGAGAGGCATCAGTTGTCCGGAGCAGGCGTTCACTTCATTAGATGCCTAAAGTTAAGCATATACTTATGTTCTTTTCCTGCTTTAGGTCAGCGGTGAGCACTTTGTAGGAGCCTGAGAAAGCAGCTCTCCCCTTCTTGCAGCAGCTTGGGAAAAAAGGGGGCGTTTGCAGAGTCGATAAGATGTCTGGCTGTGCTTCCAGAGCTGAGAGTTCAAACCTGGCCTGATGTTGTTAAACAGCACTTCTAATTCCCCCAGCAGTAAGTGGGTACCTCATCATTTAGTCCAAGGTGTTACTAGCACTAGACTATGACTAGTAATTACATCATTGCTTTGCATGCCACGGATACTGGTGTGCTTCTACCATGCTTGGTTTTTTGGGGTGGGGAGGTGGGAGTTAACTAACTGACAGGTGAGAGACTGAGTTGCCTGAAACCACAAGGTTCCATCAATGCCTCCTTCTCTGGAGTGCATGGCATAGGGCACAAGATCATAAATTTGGTCCACATGTATTGAAGTGAGGTTCAAATGTTGGTCCTGCCCCTTGACAAGATAAGGACCGTGCAGATTCTGTTGTTCCTTTCATTCCAAAGAATCCCAAAGCAAGGATAGGAGCTACCTTTACATGGTTTGCATGTAGAGATAGAGATATTACCTGGTCTGAAATGCACCCATGTCTGGGGTGCAACACTGCAGCTCATTTGGACCAGTCAGGAACACCATTTAGTGACTTAAAGCAAGAGGTGGAGAAAAACTCCAGGCTGAAAAGAAACTTTGGGTGGAATTTTACATAGAGAAACTAACTCCCTAGACTGAAAATGGCCTAGGGCACTTGGATCTGCTACTTGAAGCATCTGGAAAGTCTCAGGCTTCCCATCAGAATGATGCTCCCTGCATAGTACAGGATATCAGAGAAGATGAAATGGCTGGACACGTAAACAATACTCTCAAATATGCACAAAGAGCAGCTTCTACTTTATTTTTTTCTTCCAGTCCAGCAAAACACAGGAAAAAGAGCAAAAATAATAATAATAAATAAACAAACAAACAAATAAAAAAAAGCCAAAAAACACCAGAAAATCCACTCTGGTGTCCTAATTTTAAAAGGTCAGAGCTTTTGCTAAGCAAGAATACCTTCAGTGATTTTTCTCCTCCCTTTGTTGGGATTGCTTTTACCATTTCCGTTATGGATAGCGTCCAGACTTGCCAATTAAGAGTGAACAGCAGAGAAGACACGGCAGTGGATTTGAGGGTGCCTTTGTAGTCTGGCGGTACAAGAATAAAATACAATCCTATCCCATAAAACTGCCTCTGAGGACTTTCTGATCCTACTGCTATGCTCCAAATAATTAGCAGATACCCTTTTAACAGTGGATCTATCCTGGATTGTTTAATTACTTAACGGCTCTGTTCTGGTCCAGCGTAGCTGGATAATTATACTAATTTCATAACATAGAGGGCCCCGCTTGCCTACACCCCTCTGGAAACTGGGACAAACTGTACTTAAATTCATGGATTTACTCAGCTTATAGCAGTGTAACCGACTGCAAAATTTGGCCTATAAAGTTAACATCCAGGAATCACTGCAGTGCATCCCAGGTGACCATCTTACCATATATATATATATATATATATATACACACATCATATATCCTATCCTATATATATACACCCAGGGGACCATCCTATCATATATATATAAAAACAAGGGCCAGATCAAGAAGTCAGATCGAGGTAGTATTTTCTCTGAAGAACTTCTGTGAATCACTGCAAACACTGTAGCTCATCCAAGTGCTTTCTGTCCTATTTGCAAAACAAAATGTTTACTCAAGATAGTTTATCTCAGACTCTAGAGGCCAAGTGCATTGTTCTAAGGTCAGTCCGGGTCATCTAGGAATGAAAAAACAGAACTCTCTCATCGCTCAAGTCTTTTAGCTTAACTCCTGGAAACTTGTGCCCCCTGACATATTATTCTGCCAAGCTCTCATGGTCAAAGGGCAGGAAGAGGAAATCAATTATAAGCTAGTATACTAATCTAATTTCCATAGGCCTTGTATAGAGGATGGTCTCTGAAGAATTGCAGTAAAGCTTGTGAACTGGGTAACAAAAAATAACAGTTAGTTTAATAGAAGTGGAGAGAGCCCAGTCTTTCTGGACTAGGATTTCCTGGTTCCTGCTTCCACTTCTGGCTTCAGTGACCTTGAGGAAATCACTTAGGTCCAGGTTCACAGGTACAAAGCTGTTGTAACTCTACTGATTGCAGTTGACTTAGTTTCCTTCCATGTAAACCTGACAGAATAATCTGCATTTGCTGTGAGCATGCACTGGACCATGTTCAGAAAGTGCTTTAAATATGTAATGCTATGTGTAAGTGCTAAGGGACAGTTCTGCATTACCACTGACTTCAGGGCAGCAATTGCCCAAGCTCAGAACCTGGTTCGAAGTATTATTGCTGGATTCGATCAGACTGGGAGAATGCAAGGCTTTACATTTTCTTTCATGCTCCCAACAGACCAGCAGTAGCCACTTAGGCAGATGGCTATAGCCTCCATGGGCACCTGTTGGGGATTAAGGATTAGTAGTTGCCTTTTGAAAGGTCAGGTCGTTTTTTTTTTTTTAAAAGATCAGCTACATGTGCACTATCATGGTTGGAGTACGTGGAAAGGAGCAGGAAGGCATTCAGAGCAAGGACTGGCAAAGCCAGATCTGAAGCTTTTGCAAGGTTTAGAGCAGCGTGTGGACAATTGGGGCTCACCTGGGCTTTTTCAGGCTCTCTCAACCCAAACAAAGGAGTAAGGTTTTGTGGCTGAAGTCCAGAGGTAGGAATCAGAGTTGACTGTATGTCTACCTCTGTCACATATCCACTGTATGACCTTAGATACATCATTTTCCCTCTCCAGGGCTCAATGTACAATGGTGAGCATAATGATTCCCACTTCATCTAGTCATGAAGGTTAAGTCATGGCTGTTTGTAAAGCCCCTTGAAATCCATGAATGACAAGCACTGGGAAATCATATTATTGCACTAGAAAAGCATATAGATAGCTCGAGCTCTCTCTTTAGCAATCAGTCTTGTAACAGTACTCGTTGCTGTAGTTTCATTTATTGTTGCAACGTATTACTGTTGCCATTATGATAATCCATGCTGCAAAAGATAGCAGAGACAGCGTTGCTATCAAATAATTCCTTCTAACATGTAAATGACACTTGGTTTCCTTATGAAAATGGCACGTTGCTATAAGTCTCTATTAGGGATGCATTTATATGGCAAAACAATTATTTGGGGGCTGTCAGGAGGCATAAAATGATTCCCTCCACCCCAGTCGATGTAGGACATATTCAGATCACGGCTGCTGATGTAATTGGATCCTTGAGTCTAATTGTAGCATACGATACTAAGGTGTGGATTGCTAGAAACTGGTTTTTCCTGACTCTGGGCTGCTCTGGGAGAGCAATTTGGATAGAATTGGGAAGAACTGGTCCTTCCTGTTAACTCCCAAGAGCAGTTATGCTGCTGCATGCCTTTGATCGAGTGCCTTGTCCTTTTACCTCCAAAGGGCCCAGCTGGATCTTGCTTCTCCAGCTGTAAGGGATGCGAGCGTTCATCAGCGAGGAGTACCACAACGCTCCATTATGTGTGCCACTTAGTCTGGACCCTGGGAACACTGACTGTGACCAAAGAAACGTGAGTTTTCCAACAGAAAGGTGCAGGGGTGACACCTTTCACCTGTGGGCCAGCAGCTCTGTTCCTAGTTCACAAGCCCAGTCAAATGGACAGTTCGGACTTCAGTCCTCAGGCTGGGGAGGCAGGTGCTTTGGGGCTGTGACCACCTCTCTGGTCCATGTTTTTACAATGCCTAGCATGGTGGAAGCTGGATCAACGCCCAAAGCCCTTAAGTGCTCTTGCAACGTGAATAAATCATCGTCATAACTGAGACCTTGCATTGTTGGCTAGGATTTTTCAAAGGAACTTCAGGGGATTATGTGCCCAACTCCTTTTGAAAGGCCAGAGGACAGGATTGGGCACCTAGCTCCCTGGAGCTCATTTGAAAATCCAGGTTGCCCTTGTCTAGCCACATGAATTAATTAAATATATGTAATGAATGACTTACGTAATAAGATCAATAGGTTTACAGGAGAGCTCTCAGCTTGAGAAGCCTAAATGCTCTATATTTACTCCCACAAAAGGTGCCTTAGCAAGTGGGCAGCAATGTAAGCACCAGCAGGGCTGAGCAGGCTGCCCCGGGGCTGGGCTCAATGCAACCCTACTAAAAGCAGCTTTGCAGCTTCCTCCTGTTGCCCTGCTAGGACCCCCCCAACCCGGATCTGCAGGGAGTGCAATCTTCCTGGCCTATTCAGGCCTTGGCCTCTTTGCAGAGGCTGCTGACAAAGGGACTCATTAAGAGCAGTTGTGGAGGTTGTGATGGAAATTCGTGCTGCTGACCCCCTACCCACAAAGACCCCCGATCACCCCACTCCATCCCCCACTTAATCCCCATCTTCTCATGGTCTCCCCCAATCCTCCTCCCGGACTCCTAAGGACAGGTTCGTTCCCTCTTCTCTCATGATAAATATTACATATATCCACCTTCAATAATTAAACAGTACATCACATCTCTGATGAGGTGGGGAGACAGGAAGAGGAGGGAGGGAACTAATTAGGGAGAAGGGACTTGAAGCAACCCTGTATGTTGAGTTACAAAGAACTAGTTACTTAACCTCAGTCCAGGTTATCTCAGGATCCGTGTGCCGGCGTTACCCAAAGTCCACAACAATTGATGCACCCTGAGGTGACCCATGGCAAACACGCTCCAGGTTGCAAACCAGAACAATAGTACATCTCTACACCCGCAGCACTAGAGAGCACAGGTGTTGCCTTACTTGTGACAGCAGGAAAGACGTGCCCAATGCATGCAGTCAGAAATACAGCGTGCCTGCTTAAAGCAGAAAGACCCGGTGGCATTTCCTGTGCAGAGCTGCCAAGAAGAAGCTGAAGAACCACTTGTTGCTCCAAAGTTGTGACCTGAGTATTGCTGACCTCATTTACCAGTTTAGTGGGGCAGGTTTGTCACTGCGTTCAATGGGATCCAGGCCTTATAATGCTTCATGGTTGCCGATTCTAGTCCTGATGTGGCAAAGTATTTCAGTGCAAGTCACAAAGCTTAGCATGTGCCAAAGTGCTTGTCCTGAAGCAGGCTGTATGCCGTTGCTTTAAATCAGCATGTGCATTTACGCAGGTGTCTGCCTTTTGGGGCTAATCCTAGCCCTCAATCTGTACTGGGGTTTGTATGTTGAATGGTCTTTGGGGGATTCATGTGAAACACCCGTCGCCTCAACCAGCCAAAGCCCCAAGCCTGCCTGCCTCTGAAAGACGGGCGAAGCTGTGAATCAGTAACAGAACAGCAGCCCTGAGCTCTGATGGCTCAGATAGTCCCAATGCTGCAGAAGAAGCTGTGCGTAGTCAGTGGTGCTGCTTTAAGTCTGAACACCTGCCTGCTTTGTATACCAATATTGCACCCGGGGATAGCTCTTAGGGTTTTCAAGTGCAATACCACGGGTGGTACGTGTTAGAGAAGAATATGGGTATATGAAATATTCCTAGCAAAGCCTTAGGGCATATGTGCATGTGGGATGGCTTAAATTGCTGTAAGGAATGAAAATTAAAAACCCAGATGCACACGTGCGACTTACATTTGAGCTGCACGTCACTGAAAGCAACCATCAGCTCCTCTGCAAATGTTTTCTCATTCAGCCACCCCCCCCCCCCCCCCCCCCCCCC